ACCAACTACCCCTGACAATTACCAAATGCTTCACCTAACAACAGCAAAATACACATTCTTCTCAAGTGTACATGGAACATTCTCCAGGATATTCCTTATTATAAACCATAAAATAAACTTTAGTAAATTTAAGAATTAAGATCATTCAAAGTACATTCTCCAACCACAATGAAATGTTTTTAGAAACAGAATAACAGAAGAAAATTGGGGAATTTCATATATATATAGAAATTAAGTAGCATACTTCTAAATAACCAATTTGTCAAAGAAGCTATCACAATGAAAATTGGAAAATACTTTCAGATGGATGGAAACAAAAACGCAATGTACACAACTTGTTGAGATGAAGCTAAAAAATTCCTTCAAAAATAATTTATAGATGTAAAAAAGAGCCCTGGCCAGTTGGTTGAGCATCTTTCCAGGTATTCAAAGGTCGCTGGTTCAATTCCCACTCAGAGATCATACCCAGGTTATGGGTTTGATCCCCAGTAGGGATGTTTCTCTCTCTCTTTCTTCTCCCTTCCCTTCCTCTCTAAAATAAACAAAAATATATTTTTTATAAAAAAGAAAAGAGAAAAATGATTGCAAATCAATAACCTAAGCTCTACCTTAGAAAACTAGAAAAAGTAGAGTAAACTAAGCCCAATGCAAACACAAAGAAGGCAAAAATAAAGAATAGAGAGGAAATAAACTAGGTGATAAAAATAACACAAAGAAAATAAACAAAACTGAAAGTTGACTCCTTGAAAAGATCAATAAAATTGACAAAGCCCTAGACTGACCCCCCCAAAAAGACTCAAAATACTAAAATTAGAATTAAAGAGGGAACATTATTTCAGATCCTTCAAAAATAAAAAGGGAATACTGTAAACAACCATACTGGCAAATTAGATAACTTAGACAAAATAGACAAATTCCTAGGAAGATACAAGCTACCAAAATCCAATAAAGAAGAATTAAAAAAATCTGAATAGACTTATAACATGAGATTGAATTATTAGTCCAAAAAAAACTTCCCACAAAGAATAGCCCAGGCCCAGATGGCTTTATTGGTGAATTCTACCAAACAGTTGAAGAAGAATGAATACCAACAAACTCTTCCAAAATAAAATAGGAGAAAATTTTCAACTCATTCTATGAGGCCAATGTTAAACTCATATTTAAAATAGGGCAGAGACAACACAAAAATAAACTATAGATCAGTATCTCCTATGAATATAGATAAAATCTTTTTAAAAATACTGACAAATGGAATTCAGCAACATGTAAAAAGTATTGTACACTATGATCAATTGGGATTCATTCCCAAAGTGCAAGACTGTATTAATATAGAAAAATCAATCATTGCTATATATAATACTAATAGATTAAAAGGGGGGAAATCAAATGAGTGTCTCATTAACACAGAAAAAGCATTTGACAAACTTTAACACTCTCTCTTGATAAAAATATTCAACAAACTAACAATAGAAGAAAACTTTCTCAACTTGATAAACAGTATCTATGAAAAACCTTCAGTTAACATCATATTAAATAATGAAATACTGAATCCTTCCCCCCTAAAAACAGGAATAAGATAAGGATATCTGTTCTCCCCACCTCTATTTAACATTGCACTGGAAGTTCTAGCCAGGAATATTAGTCAAATCAATGAATAAAGTCATGCAGATTGGAAAGGAAGAAGTAAACTATTTCTATTTGCAGATGACATGATCTTGCACATATATAGAAAATCTTAAGGAATCTACTGGAAAACTATTAGAACTAATAAATGAGTTTGGCAAGGTTACAAGATACAGATCAATATGTAAAAATCGATTTTATTTCAATAAACTTGCTATGAATAATCCAAAAATAAAATTAAGAAGACAAATATATGATGGTAGCATCAAAGAGAATAAAATATTTAGGTGTACAAATAAATAAAAGTCTTGTACACAGAAAACTACAACACATTGTTGAAAAAAATTAAGTTCTAAAAAAATGGAAAGACATCCCATATTCATGGATTGGAAGGCTTAATATTGTTAAGATGACAATACTTCCAATATTGATCTACAGATTCAATGCAACCAATCCCTCTCAAATAACCAACTCTGTTTTCTTTTAATCCTTACCCAAGGACATATTTTTATTGATTTGAGAGAGAGAGAGAGAAAAGGAGAGAAAGAGAAGCATTTATATGAGAGAGAAACATTGATCAATTGCTTCTTGTACACACTCTAACTGGGGATCAAACTCACAAT